ACCATTCTTTAGTTTTGATAGATTGCATGGGGTAAAGCCAAGCGCCTTGATTGACGGTTGACAAAGTAACCATCAATCAAATAGAGCAAATGCAGGAAAACAAAATTTATTGAATAAATCAAGACAAATGACTCAAGTGATGGTCAATATTGGAAATATTCAAAACAAATATTTTTTATTTACTTACATTTAGCAGTTGAAAGCTAAATTTTGCAACATTGTGCGACTCCATGCACGTATGTACTACTAAGTGGCTATAAATAAAATTTTCGAGTTAAAATTAAACTGAGTCGAGATTTATTGTTATATTTAGCTAAGCAAACTAGTGAAATATATATGTGCGTTTAAAAATAGCTGTGCAAATTATGGCATGGAGACTAGAGAAAATGTATTGTTATATTTTTAGCAACATTTCAGTTTCGAAATTTTGCGATGTCGCCAAGCGTCGTGCGCTCAATGAAGTTGCTAATTTGATAAAAAAAAAATCAAAAGCAAACTAAAAAAAATTTTACCATACGGTTTTAAATTTTATGATTTTATTGCTATGCGAATAATGTGGGATAAGGAATTGCCCATATGCACTTAATGGACACCTAAGCCACTGTAATTAGCATTCGCTGCTGGGGTCTCACAGTTGTATTGATAAGATAATCGTTTATGACAATTTAAAAAAAAATAAAAAAATGCTCTCTTGCCAGCTACTTTAGGATCCTTTTATATGACACAGAAATAGGGGGCGATGTCGAACAAAGATGAGAAGGATTTGGGCGGCTTTCGAGGGAAGATCTATGGCTCAACGGACGCAACCTCGCAATGGAGAGAGGCAATTTGCGAAGTTTTTTGGTCACGGCCCAAACCGACGAACGGTTGTTGAGCCAAATAAGGAGAAGAAGAACTTAGCGGAATGTCAAACACACTCAATTGTATCTCCCAAATCACTCTGGCACTCGTTCCAAGAACACATCGAAAAGCTTATATTACGTAGTTTATCCGAATGCTAAGGAAAGTCCCGTAGTTTGTGTCGAATTTCTAATGAAATTTTTGTTGTTTTAGTTAAATGCGCTCAAATCGATAATGCAAATTCATATGTGCATATATAATAAAACCAGCTAAATTGTTTTCAATTTAAGCAAGGGAGTCTTTTGTTCGACGTGTTGCGATGGCGTTTTAACGAATAATAAAGCAATTAGGATGACATTTTGTTTGAATAGGTAAATTTGCTAGTATTTTGCTTTTCGAATTCAGAAGACTCAATCACCGTATTGCATCGAAAATAGTAGTTAGCACTTTCAATAGCTAGTAGTTAGCATCTTCAGTATACTTACATACGTATTTACCTTAATTGTGTACTGCAGAATGTAAATAAAATGGACAAATATGTTTACTTAAACTGTAAATTATTATTGGTCCGCTATTTATTTAAATATTTTCCACTAAATATATTAACAATCCTTATTATGCGCATTTGCAAGTTTAGTAAACAGGAATTGTGAATCCAGCAAGTAGCAAACCAGAAAATATACATATATATAAAAGAAATAAATTTGCTTAACTTGCTGACATATTTACGATCCCTTAGTCGTTGTTTGATACATAATTTAAAGATTTATTGTTCTGTTTTAAGATAAGATGCAATAACCAGAAAGAAGTTTTAAACCTATATAAATGTAAATTTTAAACTTGTGTAAAATTATGATTGTTAAAAAATTTTCGTTTAATAAAAAGTATTAAAAGAAGTGGCTAGATAATATGGATTCTTGATTCAAATTCAGGGCTTGGGAACAGGGTTTGATGCTTTATTACAGAATAAATCTGAGAGCCAAACTCAGCAAGCTCTCTTATTAAGGACTGTCCTTAAAGTTATACACGGTACTTCTGGATAAGGTTTAACCCAAAAGTTTTTACTCACCCAATTTTAATTCAAATATTGAATGAAAGGACCCAAAAGCAAACTCGGAAACTAGCTAATTTCAAAACTATTCTACACTAAACATTTTGGACATAAAATCTCTGTCCATTAGCTTTGGAATTAGCGAAGACCCTCTGATTTTGATAAATTCTTACAAAACTCCTCCCAAATAAGTGTATCAAGTATCTTTTTGCTTCTTGTATACCAGAAGTAAGGGCAATAAGAGCTTCAAAAATTAGACAAAGAAACATGAAAGAAGAGATCGACCTACGCTTAAAGGAGCCTACGAGCAAGTAAACTAGGCTAAGATTTGTAAACTTACTGTTCGGCTAATGGCCTTATTCATTAAGCACAAAGTAGGTTTAAAAAGCTTAATAAATTGAAGTTTTCATACATTTTTCATTTTATAAACCTTTTTTAAAGCTACTTTATATTTTTATAAATAAGGCTATTAAGGTTTTTTTTTTGAAAATTTGTTTTAAGGGCAGAGACATTTTATTGCCTACTTGTGAAAACGGAAGTGTTTAAACAAAATTTGTGTTTAAAGTACGAATAAATTCTAAAAGTTACTTAAGAAAACGGCGCTAATAGCCAGTTTCGCGAAATCTATTTAAATGACACATGATTTTTTTATTTGAATTTAATATTGAAACCGAAGAAAATTGTCTGTTACGTATCGTTGATAAACTCTGTTCCTTTTCAGGCTAATAAACGACACATATCAGAATATGTCTATAGACTCGTATATAAGTATATGTATTTATATTGGGCCGTATCAATAAAAATAAACAATTGCTTTTTCTTGAAATTTCAGACCTTTTACTTGATTTGTTCAAACAAAATTGAAGTAAAAGGATTTGCCATTTTAATAAAAAATAATTGCTTAGTTTTTACGCATACGGCGCAATATAGAATGAACCAAGCATGTTGCCATAATAGGTTTTTGGCAACGTCTTCCTTATATCGATTAAGAAGTGCGCATACTGTGAGGGCTTTATGTACTAAATGTGTGAGAGATCATTGATGGTCTTTGATTTACTACAAGCTCTTCGGATATGTCGAGGTCTGCAACGTATTCTCGTTACAGGTCCATACAACAAGGAGACATGCCTAAGTCGCTTGGATATAAGAAATTATGAGTTGTATTTTCATCGAACGCGTTCATAGAATAATTCTTGTAATCTAGTAAAAAAATAAACATAAACAAAATTTCGTGGCACAAAAACGTGACATGCAATTATGATTTTCACAAACACAGTAAATTAAATGTCAATATAAAAAATATAAAAAAATCATTGCATAACTCTGTATAAATGTTTTGCAATTTCTGCAATAAAATAATACAAATCGGATAAAATGGCAAATCATGCGCTTAAAGTCACTCTGGCGTATGTGTAACCTGGCGCTGGGCCGCAGTTTTCTCGCTAAAATATTTATTATCCGCAAGTCATCATCAACTCACGTTTGAAACGCCACACTTTCGAGATGATTTTGGCAAAACAGTGTTAATAAAAGCTAAAAAAATGCAAATGAAATCAACAGTTGAGTGAAAGAAGCGAATTTGAGGCAACATATTTGAGTGGAGTTAAAATAGTTCTTGACACAATGGCCCCAATTTAAGCTACGTATTTTAATGTGCTGTGAAAAGAAATGCGTTAATATCAATTAACACATTTACCCGAAAAAAATAACAAAAGACTTGGCACATGCCAGTTTTAACGGCTATAAAATTAGTTGCCAAAAATTTGAATTCAAAGTTTCAAGCGAAGAGTTCATACGACCAGCCATAAATAGTCGTGTATGGTTAGTAAAGCAGTGCGGTTGTATCAAAGTACTTTTTAAGGAGAAATAGTGATTCCAGAGTATTTTTCATAAAAAAATGAATTTCTTGAACATAATCGATGAAGTCACCGAAACGGGTCGCGATATGCACCGGAAATATATCGATTCGCGTACGGAATCTTGTGAGGATCTGAAAAATGTAGCCGAATACGAAAAATTCATTGAAGCAGAGATAATGCAAAGTGAAAAAGTACAAAAGGCAAAGTTCGCTAAGGAGCGAGATGAAAACGGAAAACTTGAATTGAACAACTATGACGCGGCAGTACTGACTGAATTAGTACAAGGCATTTGTCTGCAGCAACAGAAGTCAACTTTTGTCAAAATCGTGTCAAAGTATTTCAGGTGAGGTGGGGGTGGAATTAAAATGGGATTTAATTTCATATCGAAGAAATA